AACTCGACCAAACTGAATGATGTGGCTGGTTTATCTCAACGGCACAAATACAGAACAGAGTTCCAAGGCTGACTCTGGAATTTTCTGTCTTCACAGACTTCTGTTCTCCAATTTTTCGGGATCCCCGCGTGAAAAAGGCGATCTCGCGGCATTGAATGTAAAGAACGTTCAGCGAGGTATTTCGTAACTTGTATCCAGGGGACGCCGAAACGTTTACCCTGCGCCGTCGCAGAAGCATCTTTAAATATAGCATCTGACGCCATGTAACTGTGATCCCGGTGAGCAGCAATCAGGACAGCCCGGATGCTTTTTCCGCCCTGGCTCAGGGACACACAATAATGACATCACGTTAAACGGACACCGCTTTGCTCTACTCCAGTTGTTATATTTATTCTTCGACAAGTCTTCCGTCCACTTTTTGAGGGCTGGGCGAGCCGCGTTTCCCTCAAGGTGCTTTTTATTTTTTTTGTCGTGACACTCTTGTTTACAAATGAGGACCGAATGGCTGGCGGGGCTTCCTCGGGTCCGTTCTCAATGGTAAAATTCGTAATATGCAATCGAGCGTGGTTGACTCTTCAGTTCTCTGGACTGATTTCAGCAGTCATATTTCCTTCAATGCCGCCGCATACTTCAGCGTTCCAGATGCTGCGTATGCGGCGTGTGTGAGTTGTGGTCAAGACATCAATCAACAGATGTCGTTGTCGGGTCATCGTAACGCAATACACACATTTGCCCGACAGGAGCTGTTCTTGAAAAAAGGTTAAAAGTTAAATGACCGTCATTTTTAGTCTTTACCCGATTCTTTGTTTTTTACATGATGCATAACTCTCATTTATTGTGCAATAATGTATTTGTTCGATATTTTGATGCATTTTTCTGCTTGAGAAAACATTTATGTCTGAATTTTGGGGGGCTTGGAACGGATTAGGGCATTTACATGGAAAACACGTCTCTACTTACAAAATTTTCTCGCTCAGAAATGTCTTCCAGAACATATTAATTTCGTAAGTAGTTATCGCTGTATTATAAAAGTTCGACTTAGTGTTGGCTGTTCATTATTTTATTCACCAGCATCAACTTGGAATTTTTCCGAATTCTTCTTTGAAGCTGTGATGTCTAAAAATATGCCGTTTCATTGCGACCGACGACAGTGTTCCTGACCGTCTAAATATAACCACCTGAGAAAAATTATTTTTCTTAGAATACATTGTCTTATCTTTTTCGAGTGACACACTTGATTTGAACGTTGGGTGTGTTTTTTTTTCATCACGCTTTAGCTGCACTGTTTCTTGTTTGATGTACAGTAGCAAACTTTGCAGCTTGTTGTTTTAAGGAACCTGTGTTGTTGTCCCGCCCAACTGGGCCTTGGCCTACAGTCACGCTCCGTGGACCGTTGCAGTCTGATACTCCTCCTGTGGCCTCTCAGCCCATTTAGTCTGCCGCTGCGCACAGCAAATCCGGGCAATTTGTTAAGAGCAGGAAACGTATCAAGGTAATTTCCTGTCCAAATTTACCAAGCATGCTAATTTCCGACAACGACGTAGCCAAGGCAGTTCAGTTTGCTGCTTAACAATGTTAAAATCTTTAAGAACGACGGTAGATGTTTTATTTCATCGCTATTATTATTATTTTTATTTATTTCTTTTTTACTAGACGTGGAATTTTGACAATTTGCCACCATCTAAACATTCCTCAAGTTATGCTTCCTTATTTTTTTAGCGCATGGTACGCAAGCCCAATTCCACTAAAGTTAGCTTGGTGTGTAAAACAAAAAAAAAAAATGCAATATCATCATTTGCAAATCATTTTCTACTGAACACACTCCAAAGACACGTTATTCAATGTTCAAACCGTTGTACCACTGTGTTACATCACCTTTTCTTTGAACAACACTCAAGAAGTGTTTAGGCACCGAGGACACTAATTGTTGAAGCTTTGGAATTCTTTCCCCATTTTGTTTATGTGCAGCTTGAGTTGCTCAATCGTCCGGGTTCTCCACTGTCGTTTTGCACTTAGTAATGCGGCACATGTTTTCAATAGGGGACAGGTCTGGACTGCTGGCAAGCTAGTCTTGCACTCGCTCTTGATACAAAGCCACGGCAGTTTGGCTTGGCATTGTCTTGCTGAAATAAGTAGTTTGGTCCCTGAAAAAAAGACGGCTTGGATGTTGCTTCAAAGCCTGTACAGACCCTTCAACATTCATGGTGCCGTCACAGATTTGCAAGTTGCCCGAACTAACATACCACCATTAATGGCTCTTGAACTTTGCACTGATAACAATCCGGATGGTCTTTTTTTCCTTTTTTACTCTGAGGACATGTCGCCCATGATTTCCAAAAACAATTTTTCATACGGACTCGTCAGACCACAGCACACTTCTTCACTATGTGTCAGTTCATCTGTTCCGAAAAAGCTGCACGGCGTTTTCTGGGTGCTGTTGATATGTGACTTTCGCTTTGCAAGAAAGATGTAGCGACAAACTGTGTTCACTGAGAATGACTTTCTAACGTGTTCCTGAACCCACGTAGCAATATCTTTTACACAATTTTTAATGCAGTGTTGGTCAGAAGGCGGGGAATAGGGTCAGACTCTCCAGATTATATTTGTGTGTATCCCACTTAGTGACACTTAGCCTCACAAAAACGGGCAGATGTGCATCGCTGAGACCCGCTTACACCTCCGTGTCTTCTGCCAACCGCCAATGTTGTTGTTGGAATTATGCTAAAGCAACAGACACGCTGTACCTTCTGGGGAAAAAAAAAAAGTATTCAGTGTAAACACACTCTCCACCTCTTCTCCCTGGGCTCTTAACAGTTCAGAGCCAAAAGCTGCGCACAACACCAACAATTCCTTATATAGCGTGCTTCCCTGCTTGAGCTCACAAAGAGAGCAAAACCAGATTGCCTGAAGGGATGAGGTTAAGACGGGGGGGGGTAGTCTGATTTATTGACTTACCTACTTAAACTCATGGATAAAAATGGGGTTGGTTAGAATCACATTTTATTTTGATTGACTATTGTTGAAGGAAGGAGGTTTTGTTTTTAATGTTAGTTTTTTTTGGGGGGGGGTGGTAGTGGTGGTGAGGGGTAAGGTATCAAGAAAGGAAGAATTAAATTCTCGTCCACCGCCAAATTTTTTTTCCCATCTGCCCAAATTACCGTTATTGTTATTCTGAACTCCATCCATCCATCCCTTTTCCGATCCGCTTATCCCCCCCACAAGGGTCGCGGGGGGTGCTGGAGCCTATTCCAGCTGTCTTCGGGCAGTAGGCGGGGGACATCCTGAACCGGTTGCCAGCCAATCGCAAGGCACACACAGACGAACAACCATCCACGCTTACACTCACACCTAGGCACAATTTGTTCAATCAGCATGCCATGCATGTTTTTGGAATGTGGGAGGAAACCGGAGTACCCGGAGAAAACCCACGCAGGCACGGAGCTGGAATCGAACCCTGAACCCAAACCATGAATAACTGAGCACAACAGTGATGGCAAGTTGAGCCTCGTCCAGGCAACGGCACGCCTCCTCTCGGCAACTTTATTCTGCTCAAGACAACACCGGCATGGCAACTGGTGTGTTGGCTTTGCCAACCGGAATCCGACCGTTTACTTTCAACGCCGAACATATTCCCCAGGGAAGTTTTTTTCTGTGAGTAGGCTTTGAAGAGCGCCTCACCCAGTTTATCTGTGAACTCGTGTCGTCAATCACGGTGAGGAGACGTCACGGCAGAGTTGCATCGCTTTGGCTATGAGCTCAGCACAGCTTTTGAGTTGAAAATACAGATTAGCAGGGTGATGTAGGTACTGTTTATGCATGGTATCAACAGTTTCTATTGTGGTCTTGTGTTTTGCGATTGTGAGAAAAGGTGAGGCAGTTCGTGGAAGAATGCTGTGTACAAAAAAAAAATTTAAAAAAAGGCACTGACGTGCAACACAAGCCCTGCAGTGAGTTAACGTGACTCACCGGGCATGTCCTTTGTTGTATATCTGTAATTATTAATTGACATCAAAAGCCCTTTCTGAGTCTTGTTCTTGTTATTTTACACTTTAAAGTGTTGCAATAGCAAAGCGTGTTAGCATGCAAGTCGCTGTTTTGCTTTGACATGTTTGTTTTCACAAAAAAAAAAAAAATTCCTCCGCTTTTTTCTCAGAAACTTTTTGTTTCTGATGAAACCAACCAGTGTTCCACTGCAGATTCCAAATTAGAACAGAGAAGGCTTTCCTTTCTTTTTTCTGGTAAAAGAAGACGTCGCCTCCCACTTTTGGTTTGGTGCTTTCATTGTCAAAGAACACAATATTCTGTCGGACTTGAAAGAACCGTCAAAATGCTCTAAAACTGCTGCCAACGTGGGACACTCTGCTTTGAAAGATAAGATGTGACTTTAATTTGTGCATTTTGTCTTTTTTTTTTTTTTCCTTTTTTTGGGGGTAGGAAAAAACCGTATGCAGCCTGCGCTTCTTCCACCTGACATTTTGGAAACCCCAAATCCCCAAACATCGCAAGAAGTTACATTGCCTGACAGGTGAGTGACGTAAACCTCTTACAAGCACTGTTCGAATGTTCCAATCTTCAAAGCGGGAAAAATCCAGTGCAGTGTGTTTATTAATTTAGCAATGTCAGTCATAAAGTCGCTTTTTTTTTTTCGATGGATATTTTGTCACCCTGTCAGGAGGAAAGATTTTAATCTTTTGAGACATGGCGAAAGTATTTCAAACTCGTAACGAACAGCAAGGACATCAACGCCAAAGCTCAGCTGCTATTTTTGGACGCCATTCTTCTCCTGGTTCTGTTTTTTTTAATTCTTGACAGCTTTGGTGGCTCTGACTGGATTGAATGCCGACTTGGCTCGAGTAGCCACGTCATTTCGTGTTTGTGTCTCTCCCGCTGCCATTTTATATTCTTTTGGCTGAGTCCTTTGTGGACTCCACGTTTTCATTGTTTCACAAGTGTCTTAGCTGCCCAAGTGTGGAGTGAAAAAATGTTGGAACGTAATATTTCTTTTCACTTCTTAACTTTCGAATGTATCTTTTTTTTTTAATCCTACTCGTGCATGCCGGTGGCATTATGGGGGGTAAAATCCGAAATTTGTCACAGTTAGCCTACCCCGGGGGTCGGCAACCTGTGGCTCTTGGAGCCGCATGCGGCTCTTTAGCGTCGCCCTAGTGGCTCCCTGGAGCTTTTTCAAGAATGTTTGAAAATGGAAAAAGATGGGTGCGGAAAATATATTTTTTGTTTTAGTATGGTTTCTGTATGAGGACAAAATTTTTTACAGCATTTAAAAACGTGAAGAATATTTGTGTCAAGTTGTGTCTATTCCTCCTACAGAAACCATATTAAAACAAAAAATATATTCCCCCCCCCATCTTTTTCCATTTTCAAATTGTTTTAAAAAGCTCCAGGGAGCCACTAGGGCGGCGCTAAAGAGCCGCATGCGGCTCCAGAGCCGCAGGTTGCCGACCCCCGGCCTACCCGTACGTCAAAACATATTTGCAAGTACGTTCGAACGTATTTAAATATGTTCAAATGTACTTGGAAACAAAAAAGAAAAAAAAACCCTCCGCATTGGCAGTTGCACGCTTCCGTTCTTTGCCACCATTTTGTGTCTCCATAGTTTGAAACCCTAATTACCGCCACGGAAAAAATCCCACATTTGTCCCGCACAAAATGACCCTGCACGCCGACGGTTGACGAGGAAGCATTTGGGAATGTCTCACGGGTTTGTTTTTGACATGGTTATCTCCCGAAAGCTGATTTCACCGATAGCACCTCCATTAGCTGCAAAGGGCTCAGCTGCTGCCTTAAATGGGACCACAACTTGTCCTTTCTTTTGAATTACCCCCGAGGAACGTCATTAGTGAGTTTCGGGGATCGTCTGTGAAAAGAATTCGGCATCGGGATCGACATCATCACGCCTGTCAAAGAATAAATATGCCATGTGTTCCCCCCTGACTCAAATCTCCAGCAGATGTGGCCAGATCAAATTGGAGCATCCACGAAAACAGACGCGCTTTGGGGGCTTGAGATTCTGTCGATTTGCTTTCCGCATGATATGCATCATTCTTTTTTTTTTTTTTTTGCGATGAAGACCGCTCGTCTCAAACAATGCACTATAACGCAAAAGATAAGAAAAGCTAAAACACTCGGCCCCAGGATTTGAGTCGACTTTTTTAACGATGCGTTTTCGGTGGCTGCGGCTTTGCTGAGCGCTCTGCGCTGCCAAAGTCAGGCCGTATTGACCGGCGCTGTGGATCCATTAAGATTACACTCTGTTGACTCATCGAAGCTCTTTAAGTTACTCTCCGTATTGATTGATGCATTTCCCTTGCTTGCGATTGTCCTTGATAAAAGCATTAGGATGTCTCCGTGCTTTTTTTATTTTTTATTTTTTTTGCCTCCAGTGTTCACCGAGTGGCCGTGCTATCTATCGCCATTCAAACGCTCTTCACGTTCCACTGTAAAAAGCGCATCGTCGTGCTCTGAATCAATTAAGCCAGAGAAAGAGTGTTACTTTGGAGAAGAATTGGAGCAGGAATTAAAAAAAAAAAAAAAAGGTCTGCCCTTGAAGCCCCGAGAGGGAGACAAGGTCAAAAGAGATCAATTACTGAGTGGATGTCTGGAACACGTGTTCTCATCCCATTCCCCCTCTTAAAGCATGACTCTCTCCCCCCGCGACAAGATGGCCGCGAGAAAGGGAGACTGCCAAGAGTTTTCCAAAAGACCGCAAAGATGTTCGGTGCGCTATATCCATTGATAGCTTGGCGTTTTGCTCATCACAATTCGACGCAGCATCGAAGCACCTGCCCGCGAGTGGATGATGGGACAGATATCCCAGCTAGCTTGTGTGACTTGAATAATGGCCGACGTGAATACGAATAGTGGCCGACGTGAATACGAATAATGGCCGACGTGAATACATTTCCCGGCATTGTAACGCGAACGCAAATGAAAAGTGGAGTCACGAGAGTTGTGAAGAGTAATTCTTTAGCAGCACAGGTCATCTCCGCTCAAAATCCGTGAAAAACGTGATTTTGATTAATACCGCAGGACTTAAATGCCAGTCAGTTTGTATCTCAAAATTGACGCCGCTCATATGGAAAACAGAAAAAATGCGGCCATTTTTACTTTTTTTTTTCAAGCCATTAGCGTCAAGCTAGCTCAGGTAACGGTGACTATTTTCTCACTATCTGCTCAATCGTTCCATCTGAGCAACTGACTTTGTTCTATTATTCATCGACTGCCAGGATTTAATCGGCCCGTAATGCTGTTCCAGAGGGCCCCAATTGTTTTGAATTCATATCCAATTCCTTCACGTAGTTGTCATGTTACCGGTTTTTCAGATTTATTGCCCACTGGTGTGTTTCAACTTGACGGGAGCCAAGGCCTCCTCTTGTTTTTTTGACTATCGAGTCAACCTTAGACTGCATCGAGGCTTTTCAACCGGTTGAAGCCTCAGCTGTTCGCTCTTTGACCCACCCCGTGGTCTCCACTGTCAAGACGGGCTGAAAAAAAATGGGAGATGGGACTTTGAAGTTGACTTTGAAGTGACTCAACGCCATGGCAATCGATCGACGTCGGAATCTTTTTTGCGGCGATTTTATGGCACGTAAAGTTGGCTCGGACCAAAACGACCGAACGAGCTACATTGTCTTGGTCTTGTGTTTTTGCCGTTGCGAGACAAGAGACTTGTTGTGACTCCACTTGTGCTGGACCTCGTTCATCCCACCCCTTCTTCCCTGTTTTTTCAGCTGTGTTTACATGCCAGCTCTGTGGAACTGGAAGGGCGGGGTGAATACCTTCCTCCCATCCAGACATTTGTCCCTTTTTTTTTTTTTTGGTTCCATCATTTCATTTTTTTTCAATATCCGTGTCACATATTGTTCATGTAGAACAACTATTCTCCCTAGCTTGTAATTTAGCCTGCGTATCGAGTAAAAAAAAAAAAAACAACAATTTTCACAAAGCACACATCGACAGTTATTTTAGAGCAGATTCACTCGTCTTGAAAGACCTCCCGAATTGTGATTTCTGACACAATCTAAGCACGAACACTAACAAGACAAAAATTCGGCTATTCTTTCACCAGAGGAAAAAAAAGTTTGCTTCGAGCTTTTTTTAGTAAGCAGCCGTAGAGCATGGTTTGGATTCACCCAAAACGCCGGTTTCTGACCAAAAAGCAGAGAAAACAAGCTTTTATTCTGTGTGTGTGTGCGTGTGCGTGTGTGTGTAAAAGAAGAACCGCGACTTATGCTATTTTGATTTATTTTTTTTACTGGGATACCTCAAACTATAAAATGAACAAAATGGAGGAAGGGACTTTGATGGCAAAATTACTTATTTAAAGGTGCAGAACTAAGAAATGTCTCTGCCTTTTTTTAACATGCAGTTCTTCATTGACTCCATGAACCAGAATTTTATTTATTTTTTCGTGACACACACTTTCTATTACCTACCACAAGACAACTGCTTTGTCCACACTATTCCCGATGAATCGCCTTAAATCAGGGTTGTGCCATTTTGTAGGCGTGTCCGAATGTCCAGCGAGAAAAATTGTAGTGTACTCAAAATTACTTCCTATGTAGTGAATAGGAGGGGGGGGGGGGGGTTCAGGATGGACATTCGGACACAGCCATACTCTGCTTTTGCGTGTTTGAGTGTGAGTTGCCTGAAGGAAATAAATGTTCTTGGTGGTCAGTGAGAATCCTCGGCCGTCATTCAACCGAGATTATGTTCCGAAGTGAAAAAAGCTCATCAGGCTGCAACTATTTTGGCTGTCCCTAAAATCGGACGACGCGTTCGTAATGCTGTCATCTTGCGCATGAATGCTTCACGGCAAAGCGGGTGGGGGCTGTTCGGTTAGCAGGATGGAGTAGCATACGAGCCGTGCGCATTATTGATGAATCTGAAATTGGAGCTGCTGCGACCCTCGCTAATCCCTCATCTGTGTTGCGCAGCGCAAACCCGGGATTGTTGATCCTTAAGAGTCGACTCATCGGCTCTCGAGTCTCGCTCGCTATTGATCCCTTTTGCTCTTAATTTTAGCCGAATGTAAATTTGCGATCCGTATGAGACTAATGCAACTAGCCCCGTGCATGGACTAATCCCCCCGCCCGCCCCCCAAATGTGGTGATAGTTCATCACAAATTCCAAATTACGGTCAACAAATGATGCTCCCCATCCCGGGCTCCGTTTTCACATCGGACATTATTGAATTAAGCAAAAGGCATAAACACGTGGGCTGAAGCTGCTGCTGACAAGTAGCTCCTGTCCCGCTTCAGCAAAGTCAACCGGGGGATCAGAAGAATTTTAATGAGCTTAACGAGTTAACAAACTCTCTATAAATAACCGCAGCCGTTCGCATTCGGTTTTGATCTTAAGGCGACTGTTGCGTAGCGACGTTGCTGCCGAGCTCACCGCGCGGATCCGGCGAAAATGACTCTTTGATCAAACCGACACGAACGGCAAACGAGCAGACCGACAAATAACATGTTTGCATTGGTTGTTTAAATCTGCCGTGCTGAGAGTAAACAGACGTCGTCCGGCAACGGTATTGCCGTCTGACGCTGCCGCTGTCCTGTGACAAACGTGTCACACTTGGTGTCCGCCCCAGACGACGCCGAAGCTACCAGCGACTTATTTTCGGCCGAGAAATAAGCAATGCGATGATGCGAGCCGTCGCGCGGGCATTGACTGGCATAATGACTTCATTTCTATGCGTCGGAAGCGACGGCGATGGGCTGTTAATGAGGGTCAAAGCATTCGGCTGCGGACGCTTAATGAGTATGCAGAAGAAGACAATGCGGCTTTGACGTATTCCCCGTCACGCTCATTACCTGTCTTCACTCGAACAACTGAGCGCAATTTTCTGAATACGTCGATACGGGATGAACGGTGGAGTTTTTTTATTTTATTTATTTTTTTTGCAGTTACCGGACAGGCAGACGCAAAATCAGACCAATTCATGCAAAGTCATGTTTGTGAAGATGGACCTGGCCTGATTTACACCGTCAACGGATCAACAGGTCTTGGCCCTTGTCGATGTTTTTGTGCCCTTTTGTGAGCTACAATAGCTCAGACAACTATCACTCCCCCCCCCCTTTTTTTTTTTTTTGACTGTCTCACAGTGAATTTATGTTCCCGGTGTGCTTTTGATAAGATTTTACTGCTGCCACCATTCTCTGACAATCAGTGTAATTAAAATTTGCTTTATCTGCTTATAGTCGTAACAGGTAAGACCGAAAAACAATAGATGGTTGCGATTTGCTTCAGCGGCCACTATTGTGCTATTTAAAGGCACACTTGTTTTCCCACACGCGCTGCGCCGCACCACATGCTACGGCTTCCGCTATCGAATATCCGCCAGCGCGCACGGCTGTTGAGTGACCGGATTTGCTTTTAAATTGCAAAGGCCTTATGCGGCAGCGTGTCACGGTTGTTAATATTTAATCGGACAAAATAGCAATCTGAAATATTCAGTTGAATTCGACACTGTACTCTCGTGGACTAAAAATCATTTACAGATGCCCCTTGCCCCTCCCCCAAAATATGCCTTGTCAATAATGAAAACTAATGACATCCGATCCGGCGCCAAATGTGCCTTAATCGCCTCCCCCAAAATATGCCTTGTCAATAATGAAAACTGATGACATCCGATCCGGCGCCAAATGCCTTTTCGATCGTGGGTGTCCAAACTTTTCCCATTTGAGGGCCGCATACAGAAAAACGCAAGGATGAAGAGGGCCAAATTCTTCCAACTTTGTGAAGTCTCTGAGTGCATGGCACAGTTGATGTACGGGTGTCGGCGGCGCTGCGGTTCGCGGACGCTTTAGCACGTTAAATTTGTTTTGATTTTGAAGAAACCGAACATGGCATCCATCGGATTTATTAATTGTCATAAAGCATTCGCTCAAGATGCATGCCCACGTTGGCGCTAAGCTTCCACCGATCGTGACATGACTCTCGGGCTTTGTGACAGCAACGCTGCTGCCCATGGTTGATGGTGAAATCGGCCTGGCAGCAAGAGAAACGAGCGCCATGTGTTAAACATCATAGCCCGGTCCCGGCATTGCGGAATGCTCACAGGCGTCTCCTGCCTCTGTTACGGCCCCGGAGTTGGGGAGGGATGGGGGGGCGGGGGGGTTGCTGGCCTTTCCCGGCAGTTTTAAGAGGTTATCGTGACCTTCCCAGCCGTGCGTTTTCTCGTGCTCCTGTTTTCTTCTCACATGGTTCAAATTGGCCTTACTTTAATCTTAATGTTGACCTTCTCCGCCCTTAAATTCGGTTTTCTTTCTGGTTCTTATCAGGAAGACCGTGGATGGGCTCTCCACATAATGGCAGTGAAACAACCTGTCCTGTCTGCTTCCCAGGTAAAAAAAAAAAAAAAAAAATTGGATGAGAGATTTGTTTCTCCGCCAAAGGTTTGAGGCGCAGAATTAACACCAGAGGTAGTTGCGCTCTCTCGGGCAAATGGTGGCAGACTCGGATGACGAAGCAGGACACGGTCCAAATGATTTCTGAAGCATGCGATGAACAGCTGTCAGCTGAGGCTTCAGAACTGTTTATCTAAAAAAAACAAACAAAAAAATAAACCATCACAGTCACATTCATAGATGAAAGGCTGTAATGGCAGATTGGCTGTGCAGGATGGGAGCTTGCGAGCTTTGGAGCAGTCTGTCGTCGAAAAGAAGGAGCTGAGCCCGAAGGCGACGCTCTCGATTTACCGGTCGATCTACGATCCTCCGCTCACCTATGGCCACGAGCTGTGGGTTGTGACCAAAGGAACGAGATCCCGGACTGAAGCGGCCGAAATTTGTTTCCTCCGCAGGGTGCCCGGGCTCTCCCTTAAGGTGAAAAGCTCGGTCATCCGAGATGGGCTGCGAGTCGAGCCGTTTCTCCTCCACGTCGAGAGGAGCTGGATGAGGCGGCTCGGGTATTTGATTAGAATGCCTACTGAACGTCTACTCGGTGAGGTGTTCCGGGCATGTCCCACCGGGAGGAGGCCCCAGAGACCCCGAGGAAGAGCTGGAAGAAGTGGCTAGGGAGAGGGAAGTTTGGGCTTCCTTGCCGAAGCTGTTGCCCTCGCAAGAGAGAATGTTGCCCTACACTTGAACCATGAATATCAAATGGAATTTTAAAAAGTATTGAATTAACATTCGGTGGCCCGGTGGGACGTGGTTAGCACGTCCAGCTCACAGTGCAGAGGTCGTGGGTTCGATTCCGGCCTTCCTGTGTGGAGTTTGTATGTTCTCCCCCGTGCCTGCGTGGTTTTTCTCCGGGTACTCCGGTTTCCACCCGCATTCCAAAAACATGCATGGCAGACTGACTGAACAAATTGTCCCTCGGTGTGAGTGTAAGCGTGGATGGTTGTTCGTCTGTGTGTGCCCTGCGATTGGCTGGAAACCGGTTCAGGGTGTCCTCCGCCTACTGCCCGAAGACAGCTGAGATTGGCTCCTGCACCCCCCATAACCCCTGTGAGGGTAAACGGATCGGAAAATGGATGGATCAATTCACCTTGTCTTAACTGTGAATGTCGTTTTGCAGTGATTCACAGCAGCTTTCTAATAGTCTATTTTTCTGACATAAATACAGTAAGTTGGGAACTTTGAGGAAACGGACAGGACTATTATTACTCTCAAAGATTCAAACTGTACTGCACTGCGAACAATGGAGAAATGACAAACATTTACATTTTGAAGCTACGTGTTTATGAAAGAGTCCACAAACAGTTCACGTTTGTCTCATGGGGAACACCATCTGTTTATTTTTAGGTTTTGAGTTGTTTATGACGGTATTGAAAATATCAGTAGCGTGGGCCAAGAATATATTATTGTCCAATTTGTGTACGTCGTAGAATCTGTCGTTTGCGTGGCTGCCCGCACACGCGCGTTTCCGGGTTGTCTTGGCGTTTGCCGAGGCAGACTTTCAGTTCGCAGGCGCGCTTGAAAAGCCATTAGACCCGTGTTCGGAGATTGGTTTGAAATAAGCCAGAAAGTGACTAACGCGGTCCTCTTTTGTCTGTATCGACAAGAGGGTGACAGCTGCACAGCCATGATGGCTGCTGAATGTCTCATTAGGCAGCATGATGACACCGAGAGGCCTCTCTGGGAATTTCTCGACAAGCTCGGCTTTGTCTGACTCTTGTTTCCCTCTCGCCAGATGCACTCCCGATATTTTGACTGGCGCAGAGTTGATTGCGCATCTGGGTTTGAACTTGGACTGCATAAGTGAGGGGAAAGGTCGCCGAGCCTGTCCATTGTAAAGCACTTTCCCTTCTCACGTCGTTTCAAAATGCGGCAAGCACGATTTTGATTGGATTAAACGAGCACGCCGGAAATGAGGAGGGGAAATAGAAATTTGCCTCGCGAGGGCTTACGAGCTAATACGACGAGACGCGGCGGTTTGTCACTGCCCTTTTTTCCATGACGTGTGTGCACTCGCGGTGCACAACGAGGCGCTCATGAGCGGCCTCACCCCAGCGGATTAGGCAAAAGGAAGATGCGTTTTCGGGCTGTAGGCATAGCTAGCTGCACGTCGCAGTTGTGCCAGGTAAACTCAAGTGTTATATAGTGGTGGAGGGGTGGCTCGTACTGTTTTAGTTACTCACCAAAAAAAAAAAAATAGACGAAAAACAGTCTCGCTATCTCGACAAGTTTTTCTTCCCAGTCTTTGCACATTTTTTTTTTTTTTTTTTTTTTTTGCCGTTATATTCAAATATGTCCCGTATCATGTATTTAGGAACAAATCTCCAAATTCATTGCACAGGATCTTTAATTTCTTTTCTCGATCTTTTCTATCACTCGCAGGTTCCAGCAGTGGGCGCCGTCTGCTTCACCAACTGGGACTCGATGGCTGCCATTGTTGCCTCTCGGTACACTGCAATGTGAGTTTGACATCACCGTTGGCTGCGTGTACGAACGAGGCTTAATTGTCATTCAGACCCGGATTATTTTCCGTTTTTTTGATTGGTCTTATTGGTTGTATATATAAAAAAAAAAGAGCTACTGAAGGTTATTTCTCTTCGGAGGGACCATGTCATTTTAGGTTCTGTTTACATTTCTAGAGACAGTTTCAACTTGTGAGCAGAAAATATTCTGTGGCAGCAAAATGGTTCTTTTCTGCTTTTCCGACAAGACCCATCGGGCTCGATTTCACACTCTGGCATCAACTCAAATGGTTTGAGCCAGCCAGGCGGGGAGACATTCATGATGTAAAAAGTCTTACCCGGAGCTTTTGACACACTGGATGCCGCTTGACTGGAAATGACGTAGGTTGCCGTCGTCGCTGTCTTTTCAGCTTTCTCCTTCATTGCTGTCCTTTTGCTTTGTATTACGCTTGGCAGGTAAGAGGCGGAAGTGTTTGGTCATTTTTTTTGGGTCCAAAAAAAAAGTGTGTGTGGCTGAATTGTCACAGTCTCAAGGCAAATTGAGTTTTTGGTCGGATTCTCACTGTATCCCCAATCGACAGCCCTGGAATTAGCCAATGGCAGAGCAGGTCTCATTATGCCCTGCTACCCATGTTATCCTGTCTTCTTCATTGGGGAGGTGGGGGCTCAGGCTTGCCGAGGAGGGGGGGTGGGGGGGTTGTTAGTC